TAGCAACAATAGTAATATTGATTAATAATTATTTAAAAATATTGTTTAATTTATGCCAATCCAAGGCAAATTTTTGAATAATAAAAAATTCTTTTATCAGAAGGTTATCGTGATAACAACCTTCTACTTATAGAGGGAATAAATTATTTTGCAAGTTGATTTCTGTGCATAATTAATTGGGAAATACATAGTAGATTTTATTACATATAGTTTTTGATGTATGTAGGTCACGTGCTGTGGATTACGTTATTACAATTTCTTTTTTGCTGCAAGCGATAGATGAAAAATTTATTAATTACCTTAAGATTTATATTTCCTGATTTATTAATTGGGCATTAACAAGATTGATTTATTATTAATTAATAAGCTTATTAAAATAATTATATTCAAAAAATTTTTAAGCCTAAGTTTATTTAAACCGATGGTGATAATGTTCAGAACAAATTGATTTCGATTTAAGTACCTATAGATTATTAATCTTGTCTAGATTTAATGTCTGGTTGCTTAAGCATGAAAGTATCTAATACTTAATGGGTACATACAAATAATAAAGATCTGAACGATTCAAAATATCAGGCTTGTTGCCATAAACTAACGGCTTAACGTAACTCCATAAATATCTAACGGCGTTAAATCGCATAAACAAGGTAACCATTTTTTTAGACTATACGATTACCGAACTTCCTCTTCAATGTATGGGTCAATTATTTGATCAGTTGTATGGCATGTGTACTTTATTAGAACCATATATGACTGATGTCAAGTCTTTCCAATTTTGGCAAAAAATAGTCTTTCATCATGCCACGATAGCCAACACCATTGAACGTAACGTGGCGAAAAAATATGGTCTAATCACACGATTACTTTTTGTGCTTGTCTCACATGTAGATTTGTTGCTGTCCAATAACGCGTAGCTATTTTGTTCGTTGACAAAGCTATTAAGCCAGAAATGAGCATCATCGCTCATGATGAGAGATTTTTCGAAGAAATTCAGGATTTTCCTATCTGAGGAATTTTGGAACTTTAAATGATCAAGAGGCTTCAGTTTATTATTCGTAAGCCAAGATTGGGGCGAATTTACGTAAAGATCTTGGTTTACACCTAATAAACTGAAGCCTCTTGATCATTTGAAGCACCAAAATTCCTCAGATAGGAAAATCCTGAATTTCATCGCAAAATCTCTCATCTTGAGCGATTGATGAAATTGATGAAACGTGAAAGCGTCATTACTTTTTCCAAGTCAACAAAAAATAAACAACTAGCACTTAACGTCTTATTGATTTCTGCATACTTCTCATACAATTGACCACTCTTTATATAATTATTGTTGTATTTTTTCCATTTTTTATGTGTGAATATATTTAATTGGTTATTGTTAATAATATCCAGTTTATTGCTTTATTACAAGTCATCACTGACTGACTGACTGATGACCTACTAACAATGTACATAGAACGGCATCAATCCGTTGCATTCCAACATATTACTATAGAAATAACTTGCAAGGAATTCGATTAATTTATTTTTATTGTATACATATTTAGTTGCGATAATTATCCCAAAAAAACACATCTTTTAGAAAAAATACAAAGTTGTGGTATTCAAACAATCTTGTTTTTGCATAATGTATTCGTTCTGCACTGGTTCATTTTATTGATTTTAAACTTTATTACGAAACATTTTTCTTTCACTACAAATAATTTCATGAAAAATCTATTCGTTAAGAAAAGCAGTGGTAACAGGTTATCTAAATAATTACGTCACAATTAATTAGTTAAACCGCACAACTTTTACGTAATCGTTTATATTTGAATTTACGGTTTTCTAAACATCATACACCGTTATCCATCTGTGTTATAAATATCTCCATCTTATTCCTGGAATAATACGAAGAATATAGGCAAAGTGAGGTGGGCGTTGTATAACTCAATTTTTTCTTTATATTTCACATTCATTTTAATTTTTATTTACTCGCGGTTTTAAACGAGAATCGTGATAATTTCTCTCGCCATCAGATTTTTTTTTTTAATATTTTTTGTTGGCCAATAATCACCAGACTGTTATGAAAGTAAACCGATGAGAATTGAGTCATCGAGAATCAGGTACTTCGATGTAATTGTTGGGTTGTGTATGGAATACAAAATACAATGGCAAGGTTAAAAAGAAAATTTTATATGTTCAAGTATATGAATAAGTAGGATAATTTCATCATAAAAAATTAAATAGTGTCTTTAGCGTGCAAATCGTATGATTTATAGAATTAATTAAAGAGAAAAACTTTAAAAATTGTGTTCAGAGTATAATTGCATCGTTGTAACGTGGTTGGGTTAGTAAATAGTATACTATTTCAACTATGTGCAATTAGTACTAACGTAAATAAACCCAAGAGAGATACGCACACGTTGAGGTCGTGTGTGAAGAAACGCATGCTATCATATGTCGGTCAAGGAACGTTGTGGTTACGATAGCAGGAAAATTATTGTGATGACACCGGGGTGGTGACGAATATCTTTAATAATTTAATATAGAGGGTGTTACATAAACGTTGAATAATTAATTTAAACTAAATTTTAACCATTCAAATTCTTTGTATAAAATCTTATTCTTGTTTTCGTAACAGTGCGAGTTTAGAGTCAATAAAATAACCAGTGCAGAACCAAATATATGCAAAAGCTAAGTTTTAAATACCTATTTACGTCTTATTTAAAAGCAGTAACGTAAATGTTAATTGCATTACAAGTCAAAACGTGTCCGTAACGTTTACCGCCCGCCGTTTCTTTCCCGATATTCTATGTTCGCCGGGAGGAAAAAATAAACCGTTAGATTGTGTGACAAAGCTAAGCCGGTTAGGAAATTGACTGCTTTAAACTTAAAACTGCGATTTAATTGTAAATTATCGATTTGAAATGAACCACGCCTTCAACTTTATCAGTTCCGTTAAAACTCGAATATTCTATGTTTAAATTGTATTAGGAAAACGTAAACAAAAAATTTAAAAAAAGTGTTTGTATGCATGTATGATTAAGATTTATGGGTTAAATGATTATGAAATTGTTTAATATGGGTTATAATTCGCACCTTGAACTATTAACCATTACGTTCACGTTTTCTTGAATTAACCTTGTTCGTTTACACCAGTTTTTTTTTCTTAATAACAACACCAGATTTATATCCCCTTTCTCGATTTATAATAATTGTTATGATTGTATCAAGTTATTTAAGATACAAGAAAGAGATTCTCAAGATACAACGTATTTAGAAATTTTTTTGAAATATAATTTTCAAAGAAAACAATCCGACTAATTAAGAAATTATACGTTTCAAGTTAACAATGTTCTTTAGAAAGTTTTTATTTCCTTTTAATTTGCCCGGGTCGGTGTAAAAGTAAAAGCTGTCTCCTATACTTAGAATAAAATTTGGTTAACACACCAAAATTTCTCTCTATTAAAACAATATGAATGTATAATAATAGAAATTGATGGTTCATATCTATCTTTAACTAGTTCACAAAACAACAGTATACTATTTAATATAAATAAAACTTGTACTTTCAGTGGCAAGTGTGTTAATTTGTACAAAAGCTTCATATTAACCCAGCTGATTGACCAAAGCTGAAAAGCAAAAATACACTACTAATAATAAAAACTTTAAAATGTGTACAATAATTATTACCTTGTTAAGCATAATAGATGTTTTTTCTGACAAATATCTATCTACTGGCGATTTCTCAAAAAAGCTCGATTAGCTACAACTTCGGACATGCTTACCTTACCTTACCCATATGCGCTATTGCTCCTGCAGAGCATTGTCCTCCGTCACCACTCCTCTCCTTGCAGAGTGCTCGGCGCCTCCATTCCCTCACTCCTAGCTTCTTCAGGTCAGCCTACACATCGTGCAGCCATCGTCGACACATGTCTCGCAAACGTGCAAAATCCCTGGACGCAAGAATGTTCTATAAATGCACTTCTTTGTATTTCTATGTAGTAGTTGTGCCTGAACAGGTGCTCTCTTTCCAACTTTAATTCTTTCCTCGATTTCCTGCCTATTCTCATTGTTCTCAAGAGATATTCCAGATATTTAAATGATGCCCCGTTTTCAAGCTATCTATATTTTCAAACTAGTATCCCCTGATAGTGAATAGTCTCCTTATCCCAGTCGATTCTCTATTCTACTTTACACAAATATGTTGTAAATACATATTGGATCACCACCGAAAACCTAATAACCAAAATGTGATCCAGAGTAGTGATTCATTTTCAACACACGTTGTTGGTTTTCGGTTCGAACATGTTTTCTGCTGTTTTGTTGTTACTTTTTGATGCATATCAATATTATTGCCAATGATGTTAATGGAATTTCGTGGAAATTCAAGTTTAGAAAAAGGTCTTCAACTTAACACTTCAGTAATAAAAAATGATGCTTGGCTAAATACAGGAAACAGAGTATTTTGCTTGAAAACTTGCTTAATGCGAGCATAGATGCGAGCAAGATTTAGGTGATCCCAAGAATTCAGGCTAAAACAGAAAATGTAGTTATATGTATAATACTTAGAACCTGTATAGTACATAACCTTATTAAAAAAAACCTTCTCCGGAAGAAATTAGCTTTTCAAGAACTATTAGGAACTGTTCACAAGTTCTTTCAAATCAGATACGGCAAATCAGCTGATATTTCAATAAATAATTTGATTATAAAAAGTGTATATAATGTATACCATGAGATATACAAATGTTAAAGTGTTGTGGCTATAATAAAGTTTTTAGCATCTCGTGAACTTACATCAAATCTTTCAGAGCACAACATTTAAAAAGATTTGGTAATCCATAGAAAGCTACCTAAGAAAGAACCCACTAGGAAAAAAAATACTGTATAGAATAGCACATGAAATAAAGGTGGTGAACTATTATAGTCAGAACTAAATGAGTATGCCTAACGTTTACTAGGGATACTTCTTTTTAAGCAATAAAAAAAGTTATTAATTGTTACTTCTTTTGTTACAGGAAGGTAGTATAGGTCCAAATTTAGTAATAAGACCACTGCCCACAAGACTGAACGACTTTTATCCTCAAAATCATCAAAATATTAATAAACCTTCGAAGAAAAACTCAACGATTCCACTGCCAATAGATGTTGACGATGAGATGTTTCTCGATACTGAAGATCTCAAAGATGAGGTGGCTATCGATACAGGATTTCCTATACGTAGAAAACTTTTAGACGAACAACAAGGACAACAACACGTCGTTTATAAACGGAAAGAAACCGTCGAAGAAGATGCGTACAGCGATTACGGTGAGTTTTCGATTTAAATTTTATTTGCTATAAATAAATTGTAAGTAAATAAAGAAATCAAGGTGATTTACCCTGAAGGTTTTTTTTGAAATTTTTCTTTATTCTATTATGTATGTATGTAGTTATAAATAAACCTGTTTTTTTTTTATTGAGTTATTGGTTGTAAGGAAGATTATTTGTAATTGAATAATCGTTTACAATTAAAAATTATTTATTGAAGGTCGAATTAAATGGGTTTATTAAAATTATATGGGATAATTGAAAACGTTTAAGATGCATTTTTTAAATTCTGATTTTAACAAATCAAACTTTTTTGAGTCATCTTTATACTATGTATAAAACGAGCATTAAATAAGTTATTTACATAACACATTTTACCATAATGATTTGTGTGTAGTTTCAGTAGCTTTTAATCGTTGAAGATAACAACAAAATACAATTACTATTTACATACATTTATGTACTGTTTCATAAATAATTTATTTTTCCTGTTTGTAATTGGAATTCTTTCAGTTTTTCTTACAATGTCTTCTTACGGGTATTTTTTGATTATCTGGTGTGTTTGACGCATGTTTTGGCCTCTTGTGAAACTGAAATGTTGACTACGTGAAAGTCAAGGTCACCTTAAGCGTTGCTGCTAATTTACTAAACGCCCGCTTTCGATTAAAACGATACGAGGATGATTGACCTCTTCCGTTCACGCATAAAATGAAGTGTTTGAAAAAAAAAAAATTGTTGTTTTAGCTTTTATGGAACCTGATCATATTGGGAAAAGATATCGGAGGAGTGCTACCAATGAAAAAAGCTCAAGGTCAAAACGGGAAGCGCCTTATACAATTTATCCGGAAATACTTGTTATTGTTGATTACGATGGATATAGATTGCATGGTGGTGATAATTTACAAATAAAACGGTATTTTGTGTCGTTTTGGAATGGCGTGGATTTGAGGTATAAGTTGTTAAAAGGACCGAAAATAAGGATTTCAATTGCTGGTATTATAGTTAGTAGGGTAAGTTAACTTACTTAGATTTAAAACATTTTCAAGGTGTGCAGATTCCCTACGTTAAGATATGTTTATCTTACATACTCATGCATTATGCGTATCTTACATTGTTTTGAGACGGCGAAGATTAAACATACGAAAAGATTTCAACCGTTTGTACGAAAATGAAATCATTTTGGGGCCACCCTTTCAAATTAGGATATTCAATAGCATGTTTAATAGGATAAAGACGGTGGAGGAACTTCAGTGTATACCAATTTAATGTTTATGCTTGTGCCAGTTTATGACATATAATATGTACATATAACGGTACGAAATCGATATCCAATGAATAAACTGGAAATAATAATAAATTAATCTATGTTAGTGTATTGTATATTAAACCGTTAATTGACAAAAAAACTCAATTTGTTTTTAATAATTAGTCACATAAGTAGAACACGTGCATAATTAAGCTGGCGGGAACTAACACTAGACCGAGAACTAGAAACATTGGGATTTAGCCGCACGTCTCTCAAGACGGCTAAACCCAAATGATTCTAGTTCTAGGTCTTGTGTAAGTTCTAGTGATAGTGCAAAACTAGAACTAACACTAGACTTGGAACTACAAACATTGGGATTTAGCCGCACATCTATCAAGTTCATCCCGTACGTATGACAGTGCCGTACGTATCTTAAGACGGCTAAACCCGAATGTTTCTAGTTCTAGGTTTAGTGTTAGTACTACTTTTAGTTCAATAAAAATATACAACAATCTAGCGCTGAATAACAATTAAAACTAGAACTAACAGCCGTGTGACGACGCACGGCTAAACCCGAATCTTTCTAGTTCTATAGTTCATTTCTTTTCTATAATACCTGTCAAATTGTTGTAAAGTTGGCAAAACTAACAGGGAGTTTTGTTATATGATGTTTTGAAATAAATATGTCACACTGACGTTTATTTGACTCTGCTGACGTTTAAGCTTTCGTTATTCAAAAAGAAAACGTGCATAAAAAAATGTTGTGGGGTGTGTATTTGGCATTTATTTACCTAGAAAAGGTGTTTTGTTCTATTTAATTACTATGTAGCACGTTTTTACAATAAATATGTACTTGGTTAAAATCGTATTTATCTAAAAATTTATTAGTATTTTAACCTTAATTATTTAGTTACTGAAAATGTTACTACAAATGAGGAAAACAACATAAATTTTATAAGGATCCTAGATAATACCAACAGAAACCCTAAAAAAATTTACAATGACAAGTATTATAGAAAAAAAACGAACTATAGGTCTAGTGTTAGTTCTAGTTTTAGTTCAATAAAAATATGCAACATAGTGATACCAGCCGTTTTAGGTCCAGTATTAGTTCTAGTGCTAATCTAGTTTTATTTGTTATTTTAAATTCTTGTATATTATTATTGATCCGTTATATCGAGATTTTGCTGTAATGTCAAATTATATTAACATGTTGCATTTTATGTGGGACAAAGTAAGTTGGTACGCTTTGGTTACTGCAATATATTATTGTATATTGCATTTTAAGTGATATTCACCGTATAGTTTATCATAATGTTATAGAAGCTAAACAACCTTAACAATTTATTATTTTTTTTTCTAACAGATTTAATTAAGTTACTTTTTTGTTAAGGGAAGAGATGCTACACCTTATTTGGAAAGAAATCGAGTTGGACGCGATGCGATTGATTCCGCTGCTGCACTCACCGATATGGGAAAGTATCTATTCAGAGAAAGGAGGCTTCCCGTTTATGATATAGCCGTAGCTATTACAAAGTCAGTATCACTTCAATTAATTTTTTTTTATTTGTAATTTTATTTTTCTTTTAACGATATGTTGATGATTTTTTACTTTTTGGTAATGTTAGGTTTTTGGTGATAATTATTATGTTATTTAGATATGATATGTGCCGCCGCAGGAAAGGAGGACGTTGCACCAAAGGAACAGCCGGTAATTGTCCTTCAAAAAAAAAGCTGATTATTTTAGTAGTTGTGGGTGTACATAGTTTTACAGCAAAATCACTAACCATCACCAATGCAAAAGAAAAACCAACGATTTTAATATTTCTAATTACAATTTTTATTTTTTTCCCCGAGCATTTCCCAAAATCAATTTCTTTTTATTATTTTTTGTATACAGCACAAAACCACATCAGGGCAATTTTTGTTTTTGTTTTTCCAAAAATAAAAGAAAAAGAGTAGTTTCTCTAAAATTCAAAATAAATCCCGTTTGACCGGGTTTTTGTATTTATTCTTTCCAGACTAGACATGTGCAGGCGTTCGTATCCATCAGATTCGTGCAATCGCGGTACAGCAGGTACGAAAATGAAATACGCCGACGAAATTAGAGAGCACAAAAATTTGCACGTCATCTTCAATGTATTTTTTTTTTTACTTTTCTTTCTTTTACTCTTTTGCATCATTTCTATTCTAAAAAGTTACATTAATTGTTTGTTGCTGTTTTTGAACTCTGCACGTATTCTCCTTTATAGCCGATTTCCAACGACACGAACGGCACTTTCCATCTTTTTTTTTATAATTTTTATTATTTTTGTATGTTGTGTTTATATCTTCACATCTACTTAATTAAAAAGAAACAAGCACGTTTTAACCAAAATATACCCAAAGTTTAGAAACAAACCCAACTTTAAAACCAATGCACGTTTCTTGTCTTGTTAATGTTTTTGTTGTGTTTTTATACTTATCTTTTTATCTGAAACATCTGATTTCTCCTGAAATGAATTTACAAACACTCACTCCTATTGAATGCATACCTTTATCTGTTCCTTTTATATCTGTAATCATCAGATTTTTGGCACGTACTCCTCCTTGCCATATGCATTCAAGATTACTAACGGGTTTTGGGATTATCCTATACATAAGTCACCAAAAACGTGACCAAAATAATAATAATAGCTTACTTGTACCTCTAACATGTTTGTTTGGATTTTGGGGTTTTTAACGAATAACATCTATTATTATTAACAATTTTAATTTATTTTTTTAATAAACTATAGGTGTCTCGGAATCATTCCTAGAAGTTGAATCGTAATTAATGATCTGGCTCATGCCACACCCAACCAATTTTGACCCACATCCTAAACTCCTCTAATTTGCTTGATAGTAAGGACAAATAAAGAATTAATACCATCAATGCAGAAAACATAGAAATGTAAAATTTTATGTATATACCATTAAAACGTCCAGAATTTGTTTCCAATAGAAAATTTATCCAAATCCAAAGTTTCAAATCAAAGAAATAATAATGATTCTGAGACACCATTAAATTTAAACTTACTCCAATAACTATAACTAAAAATTAACTCAATTTAGGTTTTGCATACGTCGGTGGAGCTTGCGTCATTAACAAACGGCTTGAAAAAGTTAATTCAGTCGCTATTATCGAAGACACAGGTGGTTTCAGTGGAATTATCGTTGCAGCTCATGAAGTTGGTCATCTGTAAGTGTTGTATCAATTTATTTTATTTAAATTATATCTAATTGTATTTTTCTTAGTCTTGGAGCTGTACACGATGGAAGTCCTCCGCCGTCTTATCTTGGGGGTCCTGGTGCTCAAAAATGCCAATGGGAGGACGGTTACATCATGTCCGATCTTAGGCATACTGAAAGAGGCTTTAGATGGTCTCCTTGTAGTGTAGCTAGTTTTCATCATTTCTTAAAGTATGTTTATTCTTTCCACGTAATTATCTCAAAGTATTTTAATTAAATTGTTAATCAGTGGGGATACCGCCAGCTGTTTATTCAATTCTCCACACGAAGACGATAGTTTACCAAGAGTTCTTCCAGGAAAATTGCTTACTTTAGATGCTCAATGTAGAAGGGATAGAGGTACAAGCGCGTGCTTTGTAAGTTTTTTTAACTTTATATAGTCTTTTAAAGTAATATTAATTAATGGTGTTGCAGAAAGATGAAAGGGTTTGCGCCCAATTATTTTGTTTCGATGCCGGAAGTGGATATTGTGTTGCTTATAGACCCGCAGCAGAAGGATCTCCTTGTGGCGATGGACAAGTAAATTATTTTCAATATTTCTTATTATCTATCATTAATTATTTTTGTATTTATAGTATTGTCTTAATGGAAGATGTGTAGCTGAACATGAAAATATTATCCCAGATTTCTCTCAAAATACCCCATCTTATGTCAGGCAAGATGGTTCGCCTGGAACACCTGGACGAACATTGTAAGTCTATAATAATAATGTTCTTCCAACCTAAATACATTTCTTGTTTGTTGCAAATTTGATTATTTATTTTTCTTAGAAATAGGTCACAAGAAGATGAAACATCATTCGAAAACGCTCCACCATCGTTAAATTTTCAATATCAATACCAGCAAAATCCCATTTCCCCATCCATAAGTACCACAACAACATCACCACCTTCTTCATTCAAATACAGCCCATTTAGTATCTTTAATTTTTCAACAACAAGATCTCCATACGATTTTCAACGATTTTCATCAATTTCAAGTTCTTCTTCGCGCCCTCCCCCCTCCTTGATAACTCCATCTAATATAATTTCTGCATCATCAACATTAAATCCTTACATTGGTAATTATTATCTTTTCAAACAAAGAACAACAAAAAGTCCTTATGATTTTGCAAATTTTGGTAAAGTGTCGCAACCAACCGGAGATGGCGGTAATTTAAATAGAAATCATTTAAAACGATCTTATGATGCAACTTCGTATTCTTCATCTTCCGATTTGGAAGGTAGCAAAATAAAAAAGGACGGTAAGAATTGATTTGCTCAACATTCCACATAAAAGATTATTCTTCCTCTTTTTTTTTGTTTGTTTGTGTTATGAAAATCATTTTTATCTCTACAACGATTCTCTTTGCATGTCTTTAAAATGAATTGCATGTTTTTAATTAATTGTTCTTAGCGTTTTCTTGATTGTTGATGTTTACAGCATTTTTCAGCATGTTTACCAACGAAATTGTTTTTTAATTGTGTCTTATGACTAACTTGAATGTCTTTTATTCCACGCAAAAATACACAAAAAAGGGGCGACTAATTTGTGTTTTGCGTTGTTTTTAACAATCTTACTTTTAAATGTTAAATTAATGATTTTTTGTTGTTTTTATAAAAAAAATTGATTTTTGCAGCTCTCGTCAGTGAATAAAAAACGTGAGGGGAATCAGTTAATACATTGAAAAGAACTTTGGGAAGTTAAGACTTAATAATGTGTTTTTGAAGTTTAAAATATACACAAAAAATTGGACTCGATTTAATTAATTGATTAATTAATTAATTAGTGGTTGTGCATAAAAAAGTAGTAGAAGTGCTTTATGGACAAAAAATAAAAAATGAACTTTAAAACATAACATAAAAATAAAACGTATTCAGAATAAGATAATTTTTTAGATAAATAAGGTGTACTACTGCCAAAAAAATCTATCTGCTCTTGTATAATTGTAAATACATTCTTTTACTATTAATTATTTAGTCTATTTACTTTTTTTTCTAAAATGTACATTTTTTGTAGATTTAAAGAAAAAAATGAATATTCGTTAAGATTGTGATTTATTTCCGTTTAGGATGTAAATAGATTTAAGAAAAGTAAAAAAAAATAATCAGATCGTAGCAAAACGTAATTAACCCTTGAACATGTTTTGTATAAGCTTAAATCATTTTGAAATCTACTCATCGATTTCAATATTAAGTAAGGATAAAATATTTGCATAATCTGATAAAATCTTTCTAAAATAATTTTTCATTGTAATAAAGTGTGTGTTAAAGGGTTAAAAGAAAATTTACAGAAAGTACCTTGTCAAAAGATCATCACATTTGTTACGACGGGTCCTGTTTCATGAGAGGTACAAGCCTTGTAATGCTGGTGATTTAAAATTATCAAAATCTTATACATATATTATAAATGCTTTGTAAACTTTATTGTATTGGAGTATAAATAAGTTTCCACCGTTTTCTATCAATCAATCATTAGGAATCACTAGCTACTACTTTTCCCATCATTCTGGCAGCAGTAATGGTTTCACGCGGATTGAGCAAATCATAATACACGACACCAAGCGGATGGTTTGGCTGTCGATGTTGAAGCATGGCCAGGTGGTCCCCAAGATTTTTCTCTTCTTGGGATTATCGTAGTGAATCCATTTGTCATCACCAGTGACTATACGATGCAAAAAACCAAACCCTTTCCTTTATGTCTGGCAAGCAACATTTCACACATGCAAAATCGGCGTTCAACGTCTCTCGGCTTAAGTTCATATGGAATCCGATTTTCTTGTTTTTGAATCATTTGCAACGACTTTAAACGATGTGAAATTTCTCGTTGAATCACTTTTAATGTAAGTACAAGTTCTTGCGTTTGGCACGAATCTTCCTGCAGATTTCGTCAAATTAAAGAAGTTTCAACATAACTTTCTGGTGGAACCTTCTTTCGCCAAACGGCGGAAACTTATTTGTACTCCTATATAATAATTAATAATCCATTATTACACATTATGTAAATAGATATGCTTAAGAAGTTCTGGACGCAGAGGACTATATCACTCTTAAAATGGAACAGTAATTCTTGCAGCTCCTCGTTTTCTATTAAAAAAGTACCTAAATCTTTTACATTAGTACCATTCTTACCTCACTTCTTCATAAAAGTCTAATAAGGTACAAGAACTCTTCTGCCATTTCACAGGTCATCAAGTTCTCCGCGCCCACAAAATTTAAAGGGCTTAACTATTTGCATTAAAACATATCTCCGAATTTTTTAATTTCTTAAATAAATCTTATGACTAAATCGAAATCGCAACTGAAATCGAAATTCAGGTTTGTCAGATAATTTTGATAACTGATTTGATGTTGAGGCCCAATCTTGCCTATATTACCATTATTGCAAACTTGTAGTTTTATGAAACAGGGTCTAAGGCTCATTGTACCAGTTTGCTATAAAACCAGTATTGAGCTAATTCCATCACAAATACGTATGACCTTCCATTAATTAATAAATTTAATTTTGGTCTAGTTTAATGTAATATCTGGTAAACATATATTAAGAGCCTTTTACGACCATCAAAATTAAAAATACACATAAATATCTGTGATATTAGGTTCTTTATGGCAAGGCAAAACACAGTAATTCAAAACTTGCTTTAAAAACCAAGAACAACTTAAGATAAAACATTCCTTTTTTTGTAATAAAAACTGCCAAACAACGAAAAAAACCAGTTTATATGTATTTTTTTTTTTTAGTTAAGTTCCTTTGTGCATTAAAATGGAAGAATCTTTATAAAAAAATGATTGTATGTTGTATTTGCGAATGAATAAATATGAATGAAATATTATTTACTATAAAATTTGTATTTTACTTAATCTTACATCTCAAGAATTATCAAATTTAATCTAAGAACTGAGGATTTAAAAATAAATCTCTTGATATCAAAGTCCAACAAAATTTTTTATTCAACACCTTCAATTTATATAAAAAAATCCAAATCCATCAAAATATACAAAAAAAAACACGATTATATCCACAGTTATTATTGCATTATTATATTAATAGAGAGGGAAGACTACAAAGGAATCAAAGGGATACTCGTTTTAATACTTAAATCTACCATTTAAATCGATTATAATTTTCTTTGTCCCAATCCAGAAGCATTAAGAGCAGTTCGAGCGACCATAGCTAAAGAAAGAGCACAAATAACACCAGCTGGCATTACTTTTCCAGTGTTATAAAAACGATAACCCATAACCCCAGCAAGAACTGAACTTGCAGCAAGTTGTACGGAATAATTATTTGCATTTTGACTAACTTGCCAAGCCCCATAGGCTAAAACAGTTCCAAAAATAACTCCTGCGGCTAAAGACGGGACTGACCCTATAATATTTAAAGTTTTAATTAAAAAATTGGGTCAGAATTGAGATAAAGGTTAAAGTTAACCTCAAAATTTAATCTAACCTGCTTTGTAATAACCAAAGGCTCCTCCAGCTGCAACGACCGCTGCGTAAGCAAATCCTGGGATATCAAAACCCATTTTTTAAAGATTATTTTGCAGTTGAAAACTTTTAAGAATGATTGTGTCAAAATGTAAATAATCTACTTAGAATGTACCGCGATGGAGAATGCGCAGTTCGGATAGATATGTTATCGAATTTGTGAATAAAATGCATTCTCAGTTTCCAGGAATTCCTCAAGTATTGATTAAACTTTACGTAAACAACATCGATTTTCTTAACTATCGAGAAATGTAAAAAAAGTGTTTAAAAACACAACTTTAATATTGACATATTCAAACATTTTGACTGATAGTTCAAGTTGCGCCATCTATTAACAAAAAATTTAACTATAAACTTGTTTTGAAATAAGTAAATATTTATAAAATCAAGTTTTTTAATGATATTTTATATTTAAATTTGCTTAAAATAACATCATTTCGTTAATTACTTAATTATCATATGTTAAATAATGAAACGAATACGATATCTTTTATATTATTTTTAGCTTCGTTGTTTTCGTGGCCCCATCTATTAGTAGATTTAAAAATGTTGTTTTAATAACCTATTAATTTTAATGAAATTTTTAAAACCTGTTTCAAGGATAAAATATAATGTCATATATTATCGTTATTACGTAATAAAACGAAATTTATTTTCTAGTGCTTTGTTATAAAATCGCAAATCCTTTTCTGCTGTCATCATTTGACATTTGACAAGTGTTAGGTTAGAATCGTTTACGTATCGTCTTTTTCGTTGTAATTTACCCATTTTAACTATCACAACCATGGAAAAAGTTTTAAAAACCGTTAATCATATCATTGTGAATACCGGGAATATATTGTCATTAAATGATTTAACGAAAAAACCAGGGCAAAATCCAACTGAAGAAGTAAAATCGTGTTACTTATTAATTGTTTTAAATTAATTTTTAAATATTTTTTAGCTTACAGACGCTATGAACATCACTATTAAAGATTTTCAAAATAATGGAGAAAATCTAGAATTGGTTGATCCATTTGTAATTTATAGGCAACATGATGATTTAACAGCAAAAATTTCTGATAATGAAATTTCTGAATTGAAAATTGGGTTGAAGGTGTTTTTAACTAGTGATGATAAACAATATGTAGTGGATGCTTTAGATAAAGGTAAGTTGAAGAGTAAATATTGTTTGATAGCAATGTTTGACCTAAATTCTTTCAGCATTATCAGTTTTACAAGTAAATTCAGTTCAAAATGTTATAATGTCTTATAATCAAGTCGATGATATAAACAAAATACAAAACGTTTGGAAAGTTTTAGAGGAATATACCGAAAATAAGAAAATATCTCAAATCGGAATTGCAGATGTAGAGGAATCTACATTTAGATCTTTACATGAATGGGCTTTAATCAAACCTAGTATTATCCAGATAAATTTAGCAACATGTTGTGTAGTTCCACCAACTTTACAAGCATTTTGTAAAGATCATGAGGTACAATTATTAACACATAGTGATCCTACAGGTAAATGTTGATTTTTGTTTTTTCTTAAAGTAATTTTATTTATTTTTTTTTTAGATATTTTACCACACGATAGAATAAATCAAATATTTAGCCAAGATCTTCAATTAAATTGGGTTTTAAGATTTTTGGTCCACATTAAATGTCGTGGAGTTTTGGCAACTAAAGGATATTTAATCAGTTTGAGGAAATAAAGATTATAAACGCTTTCGCAGTATTGTTGAACTTTATTTTACTTAAATGTTATGACTCAATTGCATTTTATATATGAAAGGTATATGAAGTTGCTTTTAAATGTATATCTTGCATTCCTTTTTAAATTGAATCACTTCTTTTTGTATTTTAAGTTGCCTATACAACTGGAGAAAAAAATTTATTATTTTATAATAAAACACTTCAAAAACTTGGATTGTAAATTGAAAATTCTCAATGTGGTTGTCTTTTAAAATTATGTAAACTGCGGTTGTTAAAATTCGGGTCGCATTTCGGAAACGGTTCGAATCGGTGATAATCCTCGATCGGCGTTGTGGAAGCGTTCTACGTTGTTCCGCGAAGAAAAACGGTTCCCATTACGGGCGCGACGCGGCCGCGGCTAATGGGGCCCTCGCGCCTATAAAAAGCGGTTTCGACAAGAGACCGACCGCCGCCCTACGACCGTCGCACATCAATCACCGGATCCAACAACCTAAAACTCTTCGTGACCGACCAACAACCGAAGAAGTTTGACGACGCGTTTCGAATCTTGAAATGAATCGGCAAACGTTTGATATATTCTTACAAAAAAAAATACACGAGGAGATAGAAGATTAGGCGCTTTCCAGTCGACGCGCGAACAAAATCAAAATACAACTACTAAAAGGGTCTACAGAAATTTATTACCACTCCGTTCAATTCTTTCTTGTTTCTTTAGTTTCTTTAAGTTCTATTGGAATGATATAAAAATGTTAGTTAACATTTTAATAGAAAATAATTAAAAAACATTCTAGTCAAAAAATTTATAACATATATGTAGATTATTGGTGTGAAATGATAAGTCATTAATGTTGTTGTGGTTAAAAGTTTTTTGACCAGTCGAAAAATCATAAAAGCCAATTAGGCCGATCGGCACGAAAGCGGTGTACAAAAGCGGTCGCAGAAACTGCTGCTGAACCGAACTCGTTACTCTCTTCGGTTCCTCGTCGATGCGGTCGAGGCGGATACACGTATAAGCCGCTGTTAACCAGATACTTAAGGGGGCCCAATAGTGCAATCCAATCAACGGCAATTAATTAGACGAACGACCGAGCGCTCTCGAGGCTTTGGTCTGCATCGGGGGCCGATAGTAGTCGTCGTCGTTACCGCTACCACTCTTAAAAAGAAATCCTTCGAAATCCCATTCTTATGTTTCTTCTTTTTTCTTAAATTATACAACAAACGAAACAAAGAAAGTCGTTAATAAATATTTACCAAACAAAAAAAAAAATGAATTATAAAAAAGATTATTAATTAATCCATAAAGATATTAAATAACATTTTGATATAGAAACTGATAAATCAAAGTGACCTAAAAATGTCAAATCCGCTTCGTGAACTTAACAAGTCTTAACCAGTTAGGCAAGTCCGTCGATCTATTGAAAAGTAAGTAGGACAAAAACGTCGATTAGCATGAAGGCATTAATAACCTGAAGGTAAAGCGGTAGCTTTCGTTGCTAATTCGAGAGATCGAAAGAACAAAAAGAGAGGAGGCTATGTCGTCTTCATTTGTCAATTCCCCGGTGCGCCATTAACAATCCCGCGAACCCGCAATGGTATCATTAGAGTCGCGCTTCCTGTCGGCCGAGGAATCACTCAACAGACGGAACATCAATCTCTCTCATTGCTTATACTGCACGAAGAAGAAGCTCCGATGAGGATGGACGCAGGAAAAAGATTCAAATACAATGTTAAATTATTCTGCGTTTAAGGGTTACATTTAAGAAGGACAACTTACACTTTATATTGAAAGATAGAAAAGGATCCAAAGATGTAATTGTAACTATGGTATTACTCCAAGTAATTGTAAATTGGCCCAATTAGTGAATTGTCCAGTTTCAATGCCTATATGAATACGTCCGTTATGTCAGTCTATTATATTATTATAGATGGATAGGTAATGAGGAGATAAGTTATAAAATCTATGTAACATATAAACACGAAAAAAGCTATTCCGTATAGGATGTTAGAAAGTCCTTCAATAAAAAAGAGTCATGTTTAAGTATCTCTATATAAAAGAGAATAATATTAAATATTGGAGAACTTTAGAACTTTTTGAACCATGTCGGAACTCAGCGAATTAGGAAATACCCAATTTCGAAACCGTGGTGCCAAAAACACACTCTATGACATAAAGTTTGTTTCTTAAAACTAGAACCTACCTCATCTAGATTGTAAATTTCACATGATGAAAATCCATATCTGGAAATAACTTTTCATTTATCAAAAAATATTTTCATATTTTCTGGATTGAAGCTAGTCATCCTAGCTAAACTTGTAGCCTCAGGAGTTCTAATGGATAATGACGAGTTTCTCTTCATAAACCCTGAAAACCAATTCACCCGCCATTTTATTTATAGCCAATGTCTCGGGCATTTTCAAAGAATTCTTTTGAGCATATTCAAATGCTACATTGCAACAAATAGGTATTCCACTAGATTTGTTTCGTATTCTTTGGTAAATATTTGTCTTTGTGCAAAATTGGGTGAAAAGTTAACATTTTCTAGACCTTAGCAGACCTTAGACCCATATGTTCTTCTATTACAGCCAATACGACCATTTGTAGTTCGTCACCCTATTGTAACTTCGCGGTATACTTCGTCATGAAATAATAGAATGATTCGCTCTATAATTCGTTAGGGATACTTTGGACAGTTGTCTAATTTATCCCCATGTTGCCTCTGATAACTTAAAAACTCGTAAAAAGATTTTGAGGTTAGCAATAACTTTTATATGGAATACAAGGGTCATCAATATAGTAACTTACCCAAATAAAGCCGATGAAACAGCTACAACACATAATTAACGACTGAATCCGCGAATGAACTTTATACACGTGTGAATGTACACTATAAAGCATGTCACTAGAGCCATTTTTTGTGTAAATTTGAAATGTTTAACTGCAATAGTGCGCGAAATATTAAGCTATCCATTATATCCCCGGCCTCCCCTAATAGTAAACAGTGAAAAACCTGAAATGTTGAGAGTGAACCCTGGCCATCGTCGTTTAGCCTTAATAAATAGTGTACGTTTTATGACGGACTTGTGCACACAGATTGTGCTAAAGATGACGTAGAAAAATGAGGTGAAGAAGCCGTTTGGGAACACCATGTCTTGTAACGCCTTCAACATTGTGCTGTGATGGACTGTTGCAATAGTAATTTATTTAATGTCACACCTACATGCACCAAAAGTTCTGATTCTGAAGCATCCATACTTAGATTTGCGTAGATATTATAAAGTTTTGTAACTATTTCACGTAGCTGTTCTATATTTTGTCCTTTGGAGTATTTTGATTTCTTTAACAGCTATCTTGTAATTTTTGTGTAATCACTGTGTTCTGATTCTGAAGCATCCATACTTAGATTTGCGTAGATATTACAAAGTTTTGTAACTATTTCACGTAGCTGTTCTATATTTTGTCCTTTGGAGTATTTTGAGTTCTTTAACGGCTATCTTGTAATTTTTGTAAACTTGATTCTGTCGGTTGTGATCGATTTGGATTTGATGGAGGTTGTATCACTTCATCATCGTTACTGTCTTCTCGATGTGGAAACTGTAACAAAAACAAATACTAACTTTTTTTTCCTTTTTCATGCACAGAAAAAGAATGGAAGAAATAATGTGTTGATTTCGAAAATTACTGGAATTCCCCTAACTGCTGTGGTGCTGTTAATGACAAACATATTTTTACTGTTTCTCCACCACTATAAACACTTCAACCACAAATGTTGTTAACTCCAATTATTGTTTTAGATATATTAATGTTGGATCTGAATCAGACGGCGGTATTTTTCCAAACTGGTCACATGTTACTTTGTTTGCTGATGATGCATTTCCAGTGAAGCCATACCTATAAAACCTTATAAGCATGTAAACTGTCGTACTGTCCATGAAAACATTTTTAATGACCACCTCAGTAATGCGAGTTCTTGACGTTTAAACGTTCCGGGTTTTATGTGCAGCTAAGGTTTCTTATTTTTTGTTTCAATTCTGTCTCATTCTAAGAAATATGGCAATTGCCCAAAATATTTAAAGAGAACAAAAATGACATCTTAAGGAAGATATTTTTGTATTATTATATAAATTCTATTGCATTGTTCGTTAACAAATAAAGAAAAAAGATGCAAAAATGAAGAGTCAAAGCAGTGCAACATATGACGTTTCTTAGAAATGATTAAAAAGATGTCAAAATGATAACTTACAATATTTTCCATAGCACTCTTTTCATTTACACTATCAATATACTATCCATATACGTTTTGAAAGAACTATTCTCCTGTGTGCGCGGTTCAGCAAAGTTGGCGGTATTCAGCAGCGGCTTAAGAAGAGAGAGAGCCGGCAGGGACATTTTTAAGGCGACGTCGCGTCGCCCGTTTTAAAAGTTATGGCGCGGTCGGTATCGGGGCTGTGCGAGCATGCGATCGTCGTCGTCGTCGTCGGTTCGGACCGCGTAGAAGAAGAAGAAGAAGAAGAGAAGAGGCAGCACAAGGAGCAGCAGCAGCAGCAAAGAAGAGGCAGCCAGCCAACCTCACTACAAACGAGGGATATAAACAATTGCCGGCCGCGCACCGGCTCCGTCGGCCAGCGGCGGCTTTGATTCCGGATTTGCATAGCAGACCTCTGATATGGTAATGCCGCGGCGGCGTACTTCTTCGGATCGGAACGAAGAAACCCCCCTCGACGTCCCTCTAGTGGCCGTCGTCGGTAGCCGACGACGTCGTCCGCGCGTTTCGGACGACGACGCCGCTAACTTATGTTTACCATAGGAACTAAAATGCAGACCACCCGATCAGGTAACGCCCCCCGGAAATAAAATGAACTAACAAAGATTTTTAATTAAATTGTGTCTGACGCACATGTGTATAATTATTTGGAAGGAATATTTTCAAACGACTTTACTTTTAGTTTGTACTAATTGAAATTAATCTAAGTCAATAGTTCCTAAAACCTATTAATGTATCTTAGTGTATCTCAGCTGTTTCATCTGTGCTCTCAAAATCCCTAACTTGTTACAAGTTAGGGATTTTGATTTTTAGTTACAAGTTAACAAGTTTTTTGCCAACTTTTCGTTACAAGGAGCAAAAATGTTGTAATTTGATTTCGACTTGCTCGATGATCAATTTTGGGGAAATTTCATAAAACTTGAAGTTTTTAAAAACCTTTTATTCACTTTTACCTGCCTAACTTTTAACCCGATTATACGCATGCACCAGGACATAGAAACAACAAAAATTGTTTGGCAAAAAACCCAAAGCACCTCAATTCTTCTAATTTGAATGATAAATGTAAGGTTTGCAGAAAAATTTTATTGAACAGCAAAGTTATAATGAAACATACACGACGTCTCCGTAAATACAATATTTGCTAGATGCTAGATGAAGGATATAGGAAAATGTTTTGGCCAAACGGAAAATAGTTAACAATCATGAATGGTATATACAGATTAGAGATGGGTCAACTCGCTTTATCAAACGGGGTTAACTCGAGTTGTGATCAAACTGAAAAGAACATTTTAATCGAATCGCCTTTGTCGCTACCACCGGCTTCTTCTTCATCTCTTGATGTTGAACCTCCAATAAAACGATTCAAGCAAACTCGCTTAACCGTACCATTTTCTGCAAAAAAATTGGCAGAAATCTGGAGATGATGCGTTGATTCAAATGATAGTTCAGGATTTGTCATAAATAAAGGTTTGCGCAATTACACCAAAATATTAAATACCCATTATGAACTGCCTTCGAGGAAAATTGACTCAGATGTTGGAAGAAAAGTATAACATTGAGTCTACAACTCTTAAGGAAAAGTTTCAGGACGTAAAACATATTGCTTTGATATTAGATATTTGGACGTCACACAGTAATAAAAGTTTCACTAGTGTGACCACCAAAACTGCAATCAATAGCTATTTCTAATGTTATTCAACAAATATTGGACGAGTGGCAGATAAGTTCTAAAATAGTGACTATAGTTACAGACAATGCAGTTTCAATGAAAAAAGCAGTTAGCGAAATTTGAAATAAGCAAAACCATTTCTGTGTAGTCCACACTCTTAATCTTGCTGTGAAAGATGGTATAGAAAAAGATGAAATTGATTTAGGAGATACCACCGCTAATAATAATCAGTTATTGCAAGTAATAAATAAATGCCGAGCGATTGTTTTACATTTTAAACATAGCACGTAATCTTCATATCCTTTGCTCCTCATGCAGAAGCAAATGAATTTGCAATGAATCAAATTAAAGCGAGATGTTCGCACTCGTTGGAACAGCACCTACTTCTCATATGCTCGAATGCCTATTAAAGCTCGAGGTTCCGTTTTCTGCAACTTTACCGACACTGGTATCATCTCCACCGAATCTGGATTCTGAAGAGTGGTTATTTGCTGAAGACGTAATGGCGTTCTTACATCCGTTTGAGAAGGTAACTGCAATTTTATCCGGGGAAAAGTAACCATCGCTATCATCTGTTATAGCTCTTCTATTTTTGGCGCTGCTTCTACTTCTACTATTGTAGATGATACTTGGGGTGTTATAGACCGAAAAATATCAGAAACCGTCGAGAAGTCCAACTCCGCTACTAAACTATATATTGAATTACCATACATAGACAGAAAACATGATCCCCTCCAATTCTGGAGTAAAAAAAATGTCTATTTCCGAAGCTAGTTAAAATGGCGCATAAATACCTCTGCATACCAGCGACTTCGGTACCATCCGAAAGACTGTTTTCTAATTCAAACCAGTGCGCGGTTTGCGAATTTACAGATTTTAGATTTTTGCTACCAACTCGGTTTGAACTCGATTTACGCAAATTTTAAACTCGATTAACTCGGTTTGGCGAAAACCCGAATTGGCCCATCGCTAATACAGATGGATACTTTGGCCTCTTTCTATCGCACAGTGCATCTTGTCTTATTATGACCGGTTTTGAAAAACGTTTGCTCTATTTGCTAATCATCATCATAATGTTGGAATATTTCTGCATTACGTAAAGTAGCAAACCACTTATATGTAACACATACAGTGAACATTCGAGTTTAGCCGTGCTAAAACTAGAACTAACACTAGACCATTGAGGTCTTATATATCATCTAGAGTGCGTATGCTGTTACCCCCACCACGCCTAAAATGAAGCCAGAAAGGTCGCCATGTTATATGTACCAACTCAGCGGGAAATTCGAAATTCTTATATATACGCAAGAATTTACATTATTATAAATTGGAAAGACAGAAAATAATAACCAAAACAAAACATTAATTTTTTATTGATAAATAATTATTAATTATATGATATTTTAAAAGAACTTAATAATTTTTAGCCATAACCCTTATACCTAACATAAACTAAGAAGAAAATATTTAAAGCAATTCCGATTGATCACGTTAAACTTTGCTTATAAATAATTGTTAGTTTATTTAAAAAAACTGAACAGTCCTTAATAATAAACTTTACTTGGACTTCAATTGAAGACCTCTTGTTATAGAAGGAGTTGTCCCCTTGTTATACCGAGGTCTTCAATTGTTAATTCCAAGTCAAGTAACCAGAAACATTTTATGGACGGTTGTAAATAATCGTCCAACCTATCAAATTATAAAAAAACATATGTGAAACGAAAAGAATTCGAAAACTTTCAGCAAAAATTAAATTTTAATAAAAATAACAATATGTTTATGAGAATTGTGAGGTTATAATTGTAGGTACAATAGAGACTTGAAACTATAGCTAAGTTCAGGTCGGTACATCCAACATGTCTGACTTTCTGATTACCCCCACCACCATCACATACGCTCTCTAGATTATATATAAGACCTCAATGCACTAGACTTAGAACTAGAAACATTCAGGTTTAGCCGTGCGGCTTTTAAGACAGCCGAAAACTTAGTGTTGTCATAAGGACATCAACTTTTCTTTTGCAAAACTACCCAATGTCTGTACTATTAAGCTATGTTACATTTTATGTGGGACATTTTAAGCGCATAGTAGTTTCTTAACTATGGTTATTGCATTCATATATGTATTGCGAGTTATATAAAATTCCCTGTATAAGGAGGTGTATATTTAACACAGAGAGATATCTAAACATTTTGACTCTTTTGACATTGAAATGAAAAGAAAAAATTAATATAACCCATAAACATCATCATTCAATACGGTCATCATCTCCAAACAACGATTTATTCTATGTCTTTCATTTCAAGTTTGGAATTCGAGTTTTTCCTTCCGGAAAAAAGGGGTTCCTTCGCATCAGGATTTTGATTAAAGGTCGTCGTCGGCGGCCCGTGGGTCGTTATCTTGGCGTTCGATCGCGCGCCGCAAAGTCCGCGAAGTACCAGAGGGGTCCGGCTTTGATAAAAGAGCACGTTCGCGAAGCGCGCGGCGGCGGCGTCGTCGTCGGCCGACTACAATAAGAGCAAAAAAGTTCCGAGTAAAATAAGGCCGTACGATTTGTAGACAATTTAGTTAGCAATTAATTGAATTAGGGAGGATGGAGATTTATGCTATCGGTCGCCGTCATCGGGCATAAAAATACCGGCCCACGATCCGTCCAACGAAGAGAGAACCCATGGGGATCCGTTGAACTCGCAAAGCCGCCCGATATCTTAAACCTAGAATCGCTCTCGAGAATTTCTTAAATTAATTACTCGAATAACGATGACGAAAGCGATCATTATGATGTTGATGATGATGACGATACAAGAATCAGTTATATTAATGATTTTGTTAACGAGGTTATTTGAAAATAAAACGTTCAAACTCTTAATAGTAAGTTATTAATAAATAGATATGAATTTGTAAAGTCATTATAAAATAAAGAAAGATTTTTCGTGTGTTAAAATGCTTTTTTTCTCTATATATACGAAATTAATCTTTTGACGCCATAAGGTTGTAAAATTGTAAATCCTTTCTATTCTATAGTAAACCATCCACCACACGCGAACCGAGAATAATCGCAAAAGGAACACCGCTCTTCCTGACGTAAGATTATTTTTAGAACACGGACTTTGCGGGCTGAGTTGATGAATTTCGCCGTCACCAAACATAAAAAGAAAGAAAAACGCAATACATTTTTA